AGCAACTCAGAGGAAACATGACAAGTCCAGTGCTTTATTTTGCCAAAGGGCTCCACTGTGTTTAAAATGTGGATCCAGTGTGTTTCTTTGTGGAGCAGTGAGCTGATGATGATTATTTCTATACTCCAGAACTTTAATGAGGATGGTTGGTCTTTACATCACATCAGACAATAACATTGCAGTCATATATTTGCAGATAAATCAGACATACAGTTCTGATAACCCAGCTCAGGAAGGAGAAACTGTAAAGGAGTAAAATGTTCTTATTCTTAATGTCTTTATTTGTGTCCTTTTCAGAGGTCAGACAGTTCAGATTGCAGGTCATGCTGCCACTGCTGGAGGACCGAATGGCGAACGAAGTGAGAATATTTTAATGTTTTTATAAGCATAATGATCTCTTTGTGGAGTTGTTAAATTTATTGATCAAACAATTTTATTTCATAAAAAATAGATTTAAAAAAAACTACAATTTGACAATGGGCTTTTTGAAAATTTCTCTTCTGATTTCATTCATTTTGGAAACTAATTCATAAATTTAAGTAAAGTAAGTAAGTATAAGAAATAATGAAACAAAATATGATGATAAAACATTTTAGATTTTGTTATATTATCTCTATGGAAAATGAGAATGTTTGCTTTCTTTTTCTGTAGTTGCGGGTGAATCAGCTACTCTTCAGTGTGCAGATGTTGAAGTTGTCACATGTAAAGATTTAAATGACTATTTTCTTGCCACATTCCCCAATTTCCACAACAAAATGGCATACCAACACTGGTTCTGTGGCCAACGTGCTGGAGTGGATACATGTAAAGTGAGTTTGCATTAGAGTTTTGACCATGTTAAGATGCATTGATGTTTCAGTACATAGGAATAAAATATATTTCTTTCTCTTACAGGGAGACTCTGGTGGAGGAGTGGTGTATGACAACAAGATTTATGGTGTCATTTCTGCTGGAGATGCTGACTATGTATGTAGGAGTGCATCTGCTTTCATGGACGTCTGCAATCAAAACTACTTAAAATGGATCAAAGATACTATTAAGAAGCCAAGAAAGAAGTGTGGTCTGAACTGTTGGTCATGACAAGCATATTGAAGCTCAATAAGCAGAAGAACCTGCGACTGATCCGTTTATGATTTACTTTGCTGCAGAAAATGTTACAAACTGTAAACCGTGTTTGTCACCAAGATCTGTCTTTATTTGGATGTGAAGTTGAAACTCCCCTCCCCATCCTGTCAGTGAGGAAAGAAAACACTGATTCTAGGGATTCATCATAACAAGGGATACTAGACAACATGCACTGTGAGATGAAACACAGGAAATGTGTTTGTTCGTAGAGATTTTACCACATCTTTACACCCCTGTGTGTATCCCGCTGGTATTCCCCAACCTTTTGGCCTTGTGAACCCTGACAATAAAGCGGTGTCTTTAGATCTGTTCAGACATCCTCCTCTCCGTTAATCTGATGCACACTCTCCAGCTGAAGTCGCCATGGCAGTCTTGTAACACTCAATCAGCTGGACCTTCTGCATCACTTTCAACACAAATCTAAACTGCATGTTGTCACGTTCATGGATAGACACACACAAACGACATACTTCAAGTTATGTGAAACAATTGTGGGTTTGTTGAGTTTTTTTTTTCACATTTTAGAGCCAAACTTGATCCTAAAACACAGACAGCAAAAGACATATTTTGCATGGCAAATGAATAAATCGCCTTCTCTTCAGTTTGGCCCACAATGTCATGTCTATTACAAACTGAAATGTCCATAGAAACACAATTTCATTTTGATGAAGACAAACTAACAGATTATTGAGACTCACCAGCTGATGTTCAGGTTGTTGCTTCCAGATATTTGTAGGAGTATTTCCTCTGAGTTTGGAAACAGGATCAGTTACAGTCCCTCTGCAAGTCACACTGTGTACTTTACTTCACTTCACACATCTCAGCTGTCGCTCACAGTCACAGTTAATCGTAGGTTGAGTCCTGAGTAGCATCACAGTTGTCAAGATATCTTAATTTTGCTATCTGTAAAGCAGTAGATGGATTATCTTCACACATGGAGGGAAATTTTTGTTAGTTATTTGAACAGTTTAATAAACTGCTGTAAGATTAAATGTAGTCTTTTGTTTATTGGTGCATTTTTATGCTTCATGTCACTTTATGCATTGTGCAGTTTCATGTGTATGACAAATATTATGCGTAATATTTGCACTGCATAGACATTAACCTTTAGATGTTAACATATATATTCCATTACAAGCTTATTTGTAATTTAAACAAGAATTCTAACTTTGGAGATGGACCGATCTGACCTCTACTTTATTAAAGAAAAAAAAGGTATGAAGTACAACAATAACCATTTAAATAGAAGTAAATTAAAAATAAGATTAGCCAAGAAAAGTATCTCGTACTGAAAATGACACTGAAGTAATGGAGTAATGTTTCACGTTATAAT